ATCGCTAAACAATGGTTTAATACTATGTATATAACCACAAAGGAGCTCACATGAAGCCTTGAGCTCGCACGTTAGCCTTTCCTCTTCCCCAGTACATGATGGAAAGAGAAATAAAACTACAATTGAGTTTCATTTTGCAGATTCATGGCTTCTTGTTACATGTGAACCAGGAATTGTAGTTTAAAAGAAACTCAACCCAATTGTTAAATGTGCCAACAGTTTGCTTAGCTAACTTGTTTAACCTGAGTTTATTTTAAGCCACAATTCCCAGTTCACATGAAACAACAAGCCAACGACTGGCTGAAGGAAAACTGAATTCTGACTTCTTCCATCTTTCAATTGTACGGGAGGAGGGTCAGAGGAGGTGTAAGTGTGGGAGCTCAACAGTTCATTCAGCCTTCTTTTTGTTCATGCATATAAGCACTGGATTTAGCATGGCATGTGAACATCAGCACCATCTAAAAGAGTTTTTACAAGCTCATGCTTAGGCAGAGCTTCACACCAAAAGGCACATATATCCAAAGCTGGAAGACAAATGTTGGGAGTGTGAAAGTGTAAAGGTGGCTATTGCTTGCATTTATTTGTACTGTCCAACTATTAAGACTTTCCGGAGATGACTTAATATAACTTAACAGTTACTTCTCTTGGCAATTTGAAGTCAAGAGGCTTATTCATTTACTAACAGTAGCTAGCTTTAAATGGAAACAAAAAGACTCTCATCTGTGAAGGTTTGGATAAGGGTATGGGAAGTGGCATACTTGCCAAACTTGGAAATATTTCTGGTGCAGAAGTATAGCAGTGAAGTAAAAGCTCTATTGAAAAATGATCTATTTTCATTATGCTCCAGACTAACAAGGCACAGCAATAAGGAACAGCCATATCATTAACTGGAAATCCTCTGAAGTACACTTGGTGAAATTATCATTTAGAACATAATCAGAAAAATGCAATTTGTATACAAGTTGGCCATCTGAGCTAGGTAATGTTTAAAATAAAGTTAAAAATTGATATAATGTACTGCTAATGATATAGTTGTGGATTGTATATACCTGATACACAAAATACAACAATTTTAATAAAATACATGCGAACCAGGAAAAAAGCATTAAGATGTGTCAAGATGAAAAATGTATAGCGGAAGGACCCCAAAGCTTGAATGCATAAGAGAGGAACAGAAATGTTTACCATTTCTATAAATGCAGCAGAAAAGTTTACATTCCAGCTTAAGAACCATCGCTAACCCAAAATTCATCTAAATCCTATCAATACTTTCAGATTTGAAAACTAAATACAAAGTCTGACTCACAAATCTAAGAACTTAATGAGCTTGTATAAATGACCTATTCAGTTACACCACACATCTGCGCGCGCACACACACACACGGGGGGGGGGGGTGTAGTGAAAACTCTTATTCTGGCTCTTTACAAGAAAAGGTTGCAAGATAGATGCAGGGCTGATCAGCAAATGGCAGGGCAGCTGATCCCTCAGCCTGCCAACACAGACAGCAGTGGAGTTCTGGACCGAAAATCCAAGGAGCACTCAGAAACCCTACAGCCCTTTTCACCGGAAAACAACAATCAAAGAAAGGGATCGCAAGAATTAGTCTCCTGGCACTAATTGGTCCTGGAGATACTTTGGTGAAGCTCGGGATGTCTAAAGGAGGAAGTTTAATCAAATTGAGAAGAAGGTGTCCCAGCTTCCATAAAACTTGCCAGTTGATTGTGGTTAGGATGCCATACCTTGAGGACTTAAGATATTTTCAACATAGGACACTAATCGTTTACCAATGTTCACACTAGCCAATACTCAGTAAAACTGGGCATACATTCCACTGACGGCAGTTTTCACATTCAGGAACAGAGCTGTTTTAGTCTCTTTTGCTGAACAGCTTTATGAGTGACTTGATTGCAATGAGGAGGCTGCACTGATTGCATAAATGGAAAGGAGGGCAGAGCAGTGCAAACCCACATTGTGATAAGCAGGTAGCTGCTTCTTCTAGCAGTACTTTAAACAAACAGGAGCTTCATTTATTTTATCAATTCATTCCTCATGGCACACTAGTGTAATGTAATATAGTGTGGGATTTACTAATTTAAGCCAAACATGTTGGCTTTTATTATGTATCTACAAAGCCACAAAGGGCCTCGGATGTGCTTCCTCCTCCGCCTCCCTTCACATGTGCCCACTGCTTTCCTACTTTATGGTCACATTCTGCCATTATGCCAAAAACTCGTGAACTATCATTTGGAGATGTCATGATCTGCAACCACTGTTTAAAGTAGAATCCCAATCCTAGTTTGGAAGCTAATTATTAATTGTGTAAACTGGGTTCAGAAGCAACAGCAGAGCACAATATACCATGGCAAGGAAAGGCAGAGATGACTTAGAGTACATAATGACAGGTTAAGAGCACACGAGTCTGAAACTGTTCATCACTATCAAACCATGGCTTGGACTTTATATGAGAACCAGTGCTGTGATTCCATGTGATGTCTGACCTTATTAACTATAATACATATTTGCTGTCTCAGTTACTGTGGTTTCACTTAACCAAGGTTGACCGTCAGCCACTCACATTTGTGGTGGTTGGGGGCACAGGACCCCCACGAAATTGAGAAAAAAATGTGAGTATCTCTAGGGAACTATGCACTCTGTTTGGGGATGCCACACTCTTCATCTCTGTGGTAGCCAGCCTCACTGATATGTTTTGTCTCTCAGAGGGCACAAAGACTCTGGATATATTTGCAGTTTCTCCCTATTTGTGGTTTTCCCCTAGAGATAGGCACAGTTTTTCCCCTTCTGTAGGGGCCCTGTGCTCCAAATCCCCAACAATGTCATATTCGCTACTATCCATGGTTTCAGGCATCTCCTGGGGGGCTTGGAACCTATCCCCCACAGACATGTGGGTCCTGCTGTGCAGCCATTGTTCTGTTTCTGCAGGCTCTTGCCCAGTGGGGACAGAATTGAACTAATGAACCCATAAACTAGGTGCTGAAGAAGAGAAGAAAAGCAGCTTTAAATATCATGGTTTGCCTATGGAAAACATTGGGAGTTCATAACATAATTTGGATTCTAAATTATTCATAGCACAAACCATAATTTAGCATGCTGTCTGAATGAAATCCACATTTTATTAGACCAGTGCTGCTCTAAGAGCCCCTCTGATCCCAGGGAAGATCATTAGCATGTCCACACTTCTTAAAGGAACAATCCTATGGTCATTCACTTCCGGCATGCAGGATTTTTTCTGACTAAAAATGTATCAGATTGGGCCCACGTTTCTCAGAGTGAGAGAGAGAGAGAGAGAATTATCTAAGCCATCACTTAGCTGAAACTTCTAGACATCTAAATTCGCTATGTGTCTCATATTACAGTGTGCTTCAAATTTCTCCAGTTGGAAACTTGACCACTACCAACTCTGGCATCATTTCAATGCCAGATGATTTTAAAAAATTGCAGACTATATTGTATTATGATGCTTTATGTTTGTTTTGTGGTGTTTAAAATGTTTTGATTTGCTTCTATTGTAGTTTTAGCTTTTTGTGAACAGCCATGAGAACTTTTGAACATGGAAGAGATAAATTCCTAAAAAGCAAATGCTAAGATCAGTTGCAAACCCGCACTAGTCTAAGGGATTACACCTCTCCTCCAGCTCCAGCACTCACACATCATTCTTTCCATCTTTCCAAATATGTTGCATGTGGCCCAACTGCACAAGTGCCTTGGGCTCTTTGTGAGCAAGGATGAGGTAAAGGGACATTGATTCTTAACAAAGTCCCATGAGTAAATTCTACAGTTTAGTTGGCCTTTCTCCCTGGGAAATCTGTCCAGTATGGCAGGATGCTATCCTTTAAATGCCATCCATCCTTTAAATCCTTTAAACTTGCAAAGACAATTGTCCCAACCCAAGGATAATTTCTGTGCAGAAGTGTGTGTGTGGTGGGGGGACTTTATACTGGATCCTGTGTACACTAAAGCAGTCTATAGGCAACTTCCTAATTTGGACCCAATCCCGAAATCTCAATGCATGCAGAGTATGTACCCACCATGTCTGAGGCCTCTGCCCCTCTTCTCCCAACAAATTCTCATTGGGAAAGGTGGGCCCTTCTCCACAATAGATTATGGGCACTAAGTCATCCATTTGACAGGTGAAAAGTTTCAAAACAGAAGGACTCCAATCAATTTGAAATGAAATGGCAATTGCATGTTCTTAAATACCTTTGCGGCAATGTTTGTAATGTTAACTGAGCTCCCCCCCCCCCGCCCCCGCAAACCTGCATTCCAGCAACACAGGGCAAATATTTATTGTGGGTACAGGGAATTCTAATGCACAGACCTCTGCACACAGTGCAAACTATACACCAGAGCTTTGCCACCAATTACAACAAAAGACACAACACTGCACACATTCCTATCTGTGTGCGTAACAGCCTCCTTTACTTCAGTAAAGGAGCCAGGCAATTCATCAGGAGATCCTGGACAGATCCAATGTCACATGTTCTTATTTCCTTCTGGGCCTCAGAGCATATCAGTCCTACAGGCCCACTGAAATGAACAAACCTTAACTTAGGTTAACATTGCATACAGTCCAAGGTAGATATTAATCCAGAAGAAAAGCCTCATACTTAAACTATATTACAAGTCCTGGAGTGTCAAGTCTGTCACTCTGGATTTATATGCATATGAGTATGTTATAATTTTGCTAAAATACCTGTACATCGCAGCTCCTGTGACCTCACAGTGGGATTCTGAACACCTTCCAAGTTCAGAGACTTGTACAATGAGTGCCAGAGGTATACGGTATATGCTTGCAAAGTTATAAAAGGGGATTTTTTAGTGTTTCAGTTAGCTGGCAAAACAAAATAATGTACTATTTGCAGAATGAGTTAGAGTGAACATTGAGTCTGAGTTAGCCAATTAAACTGAAGTCATTAACAGTAACATGAAATAAAATTGCTTACTGAATGGTTCATTCGCACCATGCACACTTTATTCTTACCTTTAGAGAATCAAAGCAGGCAATAACTCTCCCATTTTCAACCTGGCAGCTTTTGGGTGGATGTGCAAATTTGCATTCCTCATCCGAGCGTGAACAAGTTCCTCTCTGAAACTGCCTGCACACTTCTAGAGTCAGCCATTTTGTGTCTCTTACAGGAGCAACATTCAAAGCCATGATGCGAAAACGAGTTAGCTCTCGAGAGCTGAGTGATTATAAATTAAACCACCTCCAGTTATGAATTCCAACAAGACGAATACCCTTTCAAGGCAAGTAACTCCTCGCAGCAATAATATAAGAAGTGCTTAAGAGTGACAAGTGCACACTAAGTGGAATGAGCAGCTATTTTTCATCAATCAATATGTACCACCTGTAGACTTCGGGCTGCAAAATATTCATGCTCAGTAGCATTTCTGGCTGTAAAATAAATATTGGCTCCTTGACTGCTTTGTTGCCACGGTTCTGCTAAGAAAGTCTGCTTTCAGGCAGTGACCCTCCGGGATAACATTTTAGCCGTGTGTCCGTTTTGTTGGCATTGATTACATACGGGGCACTATGCGTTCAATCGGTTTCACGTCCGATGTAGTATTTTCTTCAAGCTCTGTAAATGCTGTTGTCCGTTCCACATCAAGCGGCTGGGAAACTGCTGCACATGACATGTAAGATAAGAGCGATAGCTAGTCGGCAGGCAGAGTCTTGCAAGGAGTACGGTTGTCTCTTGTATGAGCGATTTCACAAAGGCACTTAATGCACGGACCTGTTAAAATTGAACAGAAATGTTATTCAAACAATCTTTTTTCCCCTAGAAAGATGTTTCACCACACTAGTTGCATCTTGCATTAAACGCCAAGAATATGTCACAGAAATAAAATACAAGACATACAACAAAGGGATCTGTTCATCCTTTTATGACAGATGTAAATTGTGCCCCAAATGGTAGTTCTTCTTATTAACTAGTAATTTTCACTAGAGGCTTTTACTACAAGATGTCCTCCATTCAACTTGCTTCACTGGATCTGTTTTTACTTAATCATAATCCAGCTGGGCTAGCTGTTAGCTATAAGGCTAAGCTGGCCAAGGTTTAAAATATTTCTATGCATTTGAAACCCTATCTTGGAACTGCATTGACAATTCATTTTTAAATCTTTAAAACAGGAATGCCTAACCGGGCCCTCTTGTTTTTACGCACAATGTGGATGAATATGCTGAATGTCCAAAGTTTGCATAACCCTCTTCAGATGATTGTTTTGCCATGTGCAAGACAATCCCCTGCATGTTTCTTCGGAAGTAAGTCTTACTATATTCTGTGTTCCAGGCTATTTACCAAATTTCTACATACAGTTCGGCGTAATTTCCTCAGTATTATTTTAATTCTGCTAAACTTGCTTTGTGATAGGAAAAAGTCCTCTTAGCAGATGCAAAGTCCACAACTTTGCATCAGTTTCACTAAAAAATGACTGAGCTCACATAATTAAGCCTAGGAGTGTGGCTTGTCTAAGCAGCCCTGCACTGCAAAAAGGGCAAAATTTGGCAAAAGTTGCACATGGAATAAAACTGATGAGACACATGGCAAGTCTACTTTCTATGAAACTCTACTAAAGCCTTTTTATTCTCTTACTTCTCTGTAACCATGATCTACAAACAGCAATTGCATTAAAATAAACCATGTCTCCCCTGCCAGGAATACTTAATCTGATAACTTGATCCACTGGCTAACTATAAGTGAGGTTTGGGGTTTTTTAATGTGCCTCATGCTATTTACAGGATAGCAATGAGCTTATTAAGGAAATCTACTGGGTTTACTTTAAAGCTGGCTTTATATTATAAAAGCACTGGTGCTGCTTTGGCCATGTGGGAAAGCAGGAGGAAATGTATGTCGTCAGCTGCCAAGGAAGCCGGCTCACGCTGATTCAATAGCGGAGACTTCCCAGAAAAGAATTCCTTTACGCAAGGCTGGGTAACTGCACGCTGGATTATCGCGCACTTTAAAAACTACCAAGCACCCCTTGTGTCCTATAACGGGACTGCAGGCCACATACATTCTGCAGAAGAGTTCTGCAGGGCCAATGCCAGTCACTCGGACCAATGAATGGTTGCTTTCTACATTCTAGTGAAGTGTTTTCCAAGGATGCCCCGGCCACACTGCTCTTTCAAGATTGGCTTGGAGGCAGGAATATGTTTTCCCTAGCATTGAGCACTGCCCAACAGACTCTTTAGAAGGCCAGATGCTAAAGATGAAACTCAAATACTTTGGCCACCTAATGAGAAGGACAGACTCACTGGAGGAGAGCCTAATGCTGGGAACAATTGACAGCAAGAGAAGAAGGGGACGGCAGAGGATGAGATGGCTGGATGGAGTCACGGAAGCAGACGGTGTGAGCTTAGGTGGACTCCAGGGGATGGTGGAGGACAGAAAGGCCTGAAGGAATGTTGTCCATGGGGTTGTGATGGGTCAGATGCGACTTCACAACTAGCAATAGACTCTTGCTTGCTTCTGTAATAATCTGCAATCATTAGCAGATGAAACAAAGGATTTTCAGCACCCTACACTTATATTTCTATCCTCCTCTGCTTCCAACTCCCATTCTAAGGAAGTAAAGTGTTTTGTACAGCGCAGTCTTTACGACCAACTTCAGTACTTTTTCCTGTCACTGAAGTCTATATGTTACAGAGTCTGCAGAAGACACGGTAATTACTGATCTCATTTTTGCAGCCATGATGCAACTAACAGAAAAGCTCCCAAAACTTTGGGGACATTTCTGCAGCAACAGGGAATGGGAGGAAAGAAATCCCTGGCATGGATCTGGTAATCACACATTTACCCTGGGATCATTCAGGTTGTTGCCAGGGCATGTCCTGATGCTCCATAAGGGGACAGCTGAGGCAGAATGCCTTGGCGTTCAAAAGTTAAGTAGATACTTAAGTAGATGCATATTGTTCTACCAGAAATAAGCATGGCAGCCAGGAAGAGTACATAAAGAGTGCTTAAAGATAGTTTCTGTGCACATTTAGACAGGAAAAAGGTCATTCAACTCCTGGCATTCCTTGTCAGCATGGTTCCCTGGGCCATGCTAGAAGTTGGGAGACTTTTTTCTAACTAAACACGCATAGGATTGCACCCCATACATCTTCAGGCGTATACATTTCTTCTCTCCTCTTTCTCCTCCTCCTCCTGCCTCTCTCTTTTCCTGATAAGCTGCAAACCACAGTTGGCCATTTTGTCCATAGCAACAACTGTCAATTGTATGTTACTTGCAGACCAGCTTCCAAACTTAGATTGCAAGGAAAGGGCAAATCACTATTTGCAGAATTGCTGCACACAAGGAAAGGGGAAAGGGAGAGGATGGTGTGGAAGTCTTTGGGCTTCATTTATGCAGCACGATACCATTGTCGGTACTTGGCCTGGAACGGACCAGACAGTCTGAAAACATACTGGGAAACCCGCCCTGAGTGCCATTTTTGGAGTATGAATAAAAGCTAATATACTCTGGAACAAACACAAAGACATATCTTCTGAATGAAATACACTTCTTCCTTTAACATTAAGCCTGCACTGTTTATTGATATTTATGATCAATGATTATTCAACAATTCAAGCCAACAAAGGCTAGAAAAAAGGGATAACTAACAGTTAATAAAGATTTTTTCCTGGATTTCCAAAAATTATCACATTACATCTAAAAGTAAAATTGCAAATTTCACCATTACTAATGTACCCTGACTCTTGTATCACATTAGAAAGAACCACGCAAAGTGCTTTTTACAGAAGCACTGCAATTTTACCTTGCCAAGAAAAGCACTACATTTGCAGCCCACCACGAAATCCAGGAGAGCAACAGTCCTGTCCCGACAAATGCATCTGCCTATTTTCAAGAGACCTACACAATCATTATAGTGAGAAAATTATTCTGAAGGGCAAAGGAAAGGTGAGAGTTAAAAGGACAAATTCTCGGTGCTCAGGAAATCAGCATGCAGAACACCAATGCTTCCCACAGCATTCTTCACTGCAAGACACAGGGGTCATGGGCACCTCCCCCCCATGGCCACTGGCTCCTAGCACAGGCTTTCCAGCATTACCTTGTTTGCATTAGCAGAGGACTGGCTGCTGTGCCCTGGGCTGCGGGAAGCTGCAAGGTGTAGGGAGAGGACAGAACACAGGAGCATCTTGGGCTGATGTTGTGGCAACGGTCCGATGAGGCTTGGCCTGGCCGGTGCAGGACAGTGGCGAGCAGGAGACCCCAGGCGCCTCCAGCTGAGTCTAGCACACAGCATTGCTGCTCGGCTGGGAATGGGGAAGGGAGGGGCCCCTCATGGCCCTAAGAGAGCTTCCCACTGGAGAATTATACTACCGTCTCTCCGGATGCCAAAGCACCCGTTTGCAGAGGGAGCTGCTCCCCTGCAGAGTTCACTGCTCTGCTCACACGGACGCGGAGCATCCTGAGGTTGTGCATCAGGCACAAACGACTCGCTCACCAGTGATGCCGACTTGCCTCCCAGAACTGCCTGCTGTTAGGATATAAAATCCACATGATTCCACAGATGCAGTTGCCACTGGCAACCACGGATCTTTTCCTGATGAGCACCTACCCATTCCTTGCATGGCTTGAGACTTCTGTCCCCTCCCCAGTGCGTGCTGCACACTGCGGAAAACTTGGGATGGGGACAAGAATCTCTTGCCTTGTGGCAGACAGGCTGCCCCCCCCCCCCGCCCCCCGGACTCTTGCACTGGACAGAAGGCTCAGGCAAGAGGCCGGCAGGCCAATCCCTTCCAGAATGCTCCGCAAGCCCACCAGGCGCGAGACTGCAGTTCCTGGCGCCAAGTGGAGTCATCCATTCGTCCTTCCAGAATGCAAAGAAGGGATGGCTTGCCCTTCCCCTGGCTGCTCTTCACACGGTGCTAGGAAAGTACCAAGGCCAAACCAGAAAACATATGAAATGCAGCGAGCAGCAAAACAAGATCCATTCTCGCTGTGCTTCGGAGCAAAGGAAAAAAACTCAGCTGATTCCTGTGCTCAGACAGAGAAAGGATGCCCCCAAACTGCGTGCTAGAATCCCAACAAAAAACGGGACCTTGGTGCCTGCAACTAATGCTTAGCACACACGTAGGTTGATGCTCAGAAGAAGCGACAGTTTTTTCACTGTTCATTTGCAAAGCATTCTAAGGCAGAGCACTGCTTTCCCCTCTTCCCAATCAGAAGTAAGAGATAGTGTGGTGTAGTGGTTAGGAGTAGGGGTCTGGGACTCAACCTACCTCACAGGGATGTTGTCGTGGGGATAAGATTGAGGGCAGGAGGAGGACTGATGTAAGCCGCTTTCAGTTCTTTAAAAAAAGGAAAAGGTGAACTATAAATCAAATAATAAATAAATCTCTTTGCAACCTTAAAACCTGATGAGAATGCATTGGACAAGTTAATCCGCCCGGAAGTATTAACCCTGAACTGTGGTTCAAATTCCTCGCGCCCGTCAGACCATCAGGCGCAGCAGGGTTTGGGTGGTGGCGCCCAGCAGAGGCTGCAAACAGTGGCTGCAGTTCTGTGTTGCTACCATTAGTCTCCCTGCAGCTTGAGCACTGCAAATCCCTCTTTTACCACCACATGGCATCTCAGTTTCACCTGGGGAGGCACCCATGCCATTGGCTGGATGACTGCTCTGCTAGCTGGAAAGGAGGCTTGTCCAGAGGCAGTGCAACTATCCTCCCCCCTCCACCACCACCACCACTCTAGAGGAACAAGGGAGGAGGAGGGAGGACGAAGTGAA